GAGAGGAGGAGAGGAGAGGAGAGGAGAGGAGAGGAGAGGAGAGGAGAGGAGAGGAGAGGAGAGGAGAGGAGAGGAGAGAGGAGAGGAGAGGAGAGGAGGAAGGAGAGGAGAGGAGGGGAGCGGAGAGGAGAGGAGAGGAGAGGAGAGGACGGGAGCGGAGAGGAGAGGAGTGGAGAGGAGGGGAGAGTATGGAAGAGGAGGGAGAGGAGGGGAGAGGAGTTGAGGTGAGTGGAGTGGAGTGTAGTGGAGAGGAGAGGAGAGGACGGGAGAGGATGGGAGGGGAGAGGAGAGGAGAGGAGAGGAGAGGAGAGGAGAGGAGAGGAGGAGAGGAGAGGAGAGGAGAGGAGAGGAGAGGAGAGGAGAGGAGAGGAGAGGAGAGGAGAGGGGTTGCAGGGTTTGAGAAGGAGGAAGTCAACCCCTAGCCCCTAACCCCTAGACCAGTGGTATTCAACTCTTACCCTACGAGGTCTGGAGCCAGCTGATTTTCTGTTCTACCTGATAATTAATTGCACACACCTTGTGTCCCAGGTCTAAATCAGTCCCTGATTAGAGGGGACAGTGAAAAAATGCAGTGGAACTGGCTTCGAGGTCTACACTTGAGTTAGAGGGCCCTAGACATATCACATAGATCTGGAAGGTTGAATGGGTGAAAGCAATATGGTGGGAACTCCAAAGGGTTTGGTAGAGTTACAGTACAACCAAAATACTTGTCAAGGGGCCGGGCTAGGGGCTGTAGTGTTTAAGGTTAGGAGGTAGGGTGATTGTTGATTAGGGTGATGGGTGGATTTGTGACTAGTGGCATGCTGTACTGTGAACAGCAGAAGGAGAGCAGCTGAGAAGTGATGAGAGGCAGAGTCTCAACATGACAATAATCTCCTCTAGCCGACCGCCAAACCCTCCAATATGTTCTGCATTATAATCCTCCTCCTTCCCACTCCCCCCGCTCAAATAATAACAACAATAATAACAATAACACAATGCAGGAATCAAGCTCTGCATCGATCCTGCCGGGTTGAGCTGAACTCTGTAGCATTTTAGCGCCGCTGCTACGTTGCCGTATGCTAACGTTGACTTATTGCAAGGGAACGTGCCGACAAACTCATAATTAGGCTCCTTTTGTTGCCCTCGTTGTTGTTGCAAATGTAATTATGAAAGATGAAACACAGCCTTCAATGAGATGCCTGTAAAATAGCATAATTAATATTGGCTTTTGCGAGAACAATCCTCCGCTTTACGGGAGCCCCCACGTCGGCCGTGAAATTAATTAAGTGTGCCAGGATTTATGGGCGGCGCGCGGAAACAAGGAGAATTAATCGCTAGCTGAAGATGGATGGTTGCTGGAAAATGATGACGCCCAGGACCAAGGTGTGGAGGGGCGGAGGTGGTATAACTGCTTTAGGGCCCCACTTTTGGGGAGGGCTGAGGGGGGGGGGGTTACTTACAGGATTAGTCTCCCCAGCCAACAGCTGGGACAGGGGTTGGATTGGGAAAGAAATTTGTCCAGAAGGTTTGAGATATGAGATTGTGTATCTCCATCACACCTGCACCCTAGTCTATATCCCCCCTGAGGTAAAATGTATTAGATGTTGAAATTGAGTGAGGATGTTGTTAATGTTGCAAATGTCATTAAAACTAAGTTTGAGTGGAAATTAACATGTCTTGGAGAGAATATGATGGATAGTGATCTTATGTAGTTGTGTTTTTCTGTCTTCTGTTATATGCTGTCTCATCATTGATGACTAATATCATTTTCCCTCCTTTTATTAGTATGGATAGATACATGAACAATAACCACATCATTAAAAACCATCAACCAACTTAATTTCAACAGGACAAGATGATCACAGACCTAACTAATCTACTGCCACAAACACATGACAAGCAGATCATTACTTAATCACTACAAGGATCATTTTCATCTATCTGTAATCTATTTGTAATCCTAATCAAACACACTTAACGAAGCATGCTGTGACAGCACAGCATGGTACTCTGTTTGTACTGATGTTAAATGGAAAAGCAACCAAAGAGATATCCACTAACG